TCTCTCTCTCTCTCTCTCTCTCTCTCTCTTTATGTGAATCGGTCACCGTCGTTTAGCGGTTGGCAGGCGACCGCTCGAACCTCAGAGACCGGATGAGGTGCCTACTGATTGGATCTGCATGCCGACACTGTCCTGACGACCAGCTCTCAGAACCGAGGCAAAGGCAAGTCCAGGCCTCCACTGCCTGACCAGTCGGCCGCCCAACTCCGGATCCGAGAGGCCGTGTATGCGTGTGCGTGTGTGCGCTTGTGTGAATGTTTGCAGTCTGTCCTGCCCACTCAAGCTAGAGGGTCGGATCAGGAGTCCGGCGGACTACTAAAAATCACCACATTGCCCATGGAAACGACATAGTGAAGCAGAAATGCATGTACAGACCGACACAGAGACCTTGCGGAGGGAGAAAGTGGGCGGTCTAGGGCGTGAGGAGAGGGTGGGTGGAGCGCCGTTTGGCCGGTCGGATAAGCCACGACGACAAGATGGCATTTCACGTGTCCGATACATTTGACCGGGCAGATCTGGCGTGTGCTTTTAATGCGATACCACGAGATGAGCATCGTCGATGGGACAACACGACAGAAGGGAGCAATTTGAAAAGCATTTGGACATTTCGTATGTCATACCGTGTCTCGGCACACCCACTTCTGCGGTTGTGGTGTGTGTGTGTGTGAGAGAGAGAGCTGACTGTGAGTATGGGTGCGTGGTTTAGATAATGTTAGTGTGTGTATGGAGAGGAGAGGTGTATGTGAGAGTGTAAACGAGTGGACAAATCGAATAAAGTGTAGCTCTGGCACACCAACAATGGGCATTTTGCATTGCATGACCATGCTTCCCTCTGAAACCAAGTCAGTGTGCAGATGTGCATGTACAAGTGTGTTGACTGCGCGGTGCGAGAGAAGACATGTGTGCATGTGTGCAATGATTGTGTGAATCTGTAGTAGGAAAGTTTGAATATTTGGGTACAGGTAAATAAATAAATATATATATATATTGGCCTCAGAATCTCATTGCGACTGTTGCTTATTAAAGACCCAAAGAGATTTTATTAATCATTCTAGAAATTACTCATCTTTTCGGATACTACTCATTATATATATAGTAATATGGTCTAATCTAAATATAACTACAAGTTTGAATTAATTAGTTACACCAGTTCCAGTACAGATGTGCTGCTTGTCTTGAGTCACAACTTCGGAATTTCTCATAATGACTAGCCCTCAGCTTAATCCTCAAAACTTAAGTGCGATTTGATTAACAAATGTATTCACCCTATGTCGCCACAATCACGTTTCCGTCGAATTTTACTCATTCTTGCCTCTCAAGATTATTCCAATTCAGGCTAGAGCGCACTACAGTTTTGACCTTGCCTATATCCCATCAGCATCCCCATCTCTGATTTAACGTCAACTGGTGGTTTTGAAATCTACGAAATGCATTCCGCAAAAATAAATTGAATTATACTTTCGGCTAGTACCCATTGTATAAATGGTGATATGGTATACTTTAAATTCAAATATGAGTTTAAAGTATTTAGACCAGTTCTGCCATAGATGTATGGCTTGCCTTATGAGTCAGGTCTAAACTGTGG